AGCATTTTTGTTTCTATGCGTGTATTTTTATTTTTAATTTTTAAAAACTTTTTTTTTAGGGACAGGGTCTTGTTGCTGAAGTACAGTGGTGCGATCACAGCTCACTGTAATCTTGAATTCCTGAGTCTTGGGCTCAAGCTCTCCTCCTGCCTCAGCTTCCCCAGTAGCTGGGACTTCAGGCACATGCCACCACACTTGAGTAATTTTTTTTTCAGTGTTTTGTAGAGATGGGGTCTCGCTATTACCCAGGCTGGTTTCAAACTCCTGGCCTCAAGCAATCCTCCCACCTCAGCCTCCGAATGTGCTAGGGTTACAAGCATGAGCCACCTCACCTGGCCTTTTTTTTTTGGTAGACATAGGGTCTCCCTACATTGCTCAGGCTGGTCTCCAACTCCTGGCCTCAAGTGATCTTCCTACCTGGGCTTCCCGAAGTGCTGGGATTACAGATGTGAGCCACCACACCCAGCATATGCCTATATTTTAACTTTATTTAAATGGTGTTTTAGAGCTCATTGTGTTTCTTACATTTTTCACTGAGTTCCTGTGACTGTGTATTCATCAGTATGGCTTCTAACTGTTGCAGAGGACCCCATGGGGTATATTCCCCACACTTCACCTGCCTACTGCTTACTGGTGGACCTCCAGATTGTCTCCAACTCTGCACCCTAGACATGATGTAGTAAATATCCTTGTATCTCTTTGTATCCCCATGAGCAGCTTTCTTTGGAAAACACACACATACCACACTACACAGAGGAGTGGAATTTGTGGGTCATAAAGTATGCATAGACTTAATTATGAATAAGGCCAGATTATTGCTTTTTAGAATAGTTGTACCGTCTATATCATTATCAGCAGCATGGAGGATAGAACCTCTAGTATGTTTTCAAAGGATGACTTTGATGTTCATGGAGGAATGTGGCCGTTAGAAGTTGGCGACACCTGCCTGTGAATAGGGGAGTCCAGAAAACACTTTGCTGAGCACAGTGAGTTCTTTCATTTATTTATTCACAAATCAGTGAAGGGCCTGCTGTGTTCATGGCCCTGGGGACACAAAGAGGAATAAGTTATAATTCCTATTGTAAGTACACAGAAGATGCAGAGGAAGCTCTTCCCTCTGCCTGGGAGGGAAGAGTCAGGAAAGATTTCTAGAAGAGGGAAGATGCAGGGTAGATAGCAGTTGCAGAAGTTCATTAGCTCAAAGAAAGCAGAGGCTATTCAATGCACAGGGACCTCTGGCAGTTTTTTTTTGTTTGTTTTGTTTTTTTTAATTTTTTTTTAGCGGGGAGAGGATGATGGCTCACCCCTATAATCCTACCACTTAGGGAGGCTGAGGCAGGAGGATCACTTGAGGCCAGGAGTTTGAGACCACCCTGGGCAACATATCGCGACCCTGTCTCTATAAAAAATTTAAAAATTGGCTGGGTATGGTGGTGCCTGCCTATAGTCCCAGCTACTAAGGATGCTGAGGCAGGAGGATTGCTTGAGCCCAGTAGTTTATGGTTGCAGTGAGGTATGATGACACTAGTAGCGTACTCTAGTCCAGACAACAGAATGAGAGCTTGTCTCAAAAAAAAAAATTTTTTTTTGTAATGAGTATCATTTTTTTTTTTTTTTTTTTTTTTGACAGAGTCTCACTTAGTTGCCTGGGCTAGAGTGAGTGCCGTGGTATCAGCCTAGCTCACAGCAACCTCAAACTCCTGGGCTCAAGCAATCTTTCTGCCTCAGCCTCCTGAGTAGCTGGGACTACAGGCATGCGCCACCATGCCCGGCTAATTTTTTCTCTATATATATTTTTTTAGTTGTCCAGATCATTTCTTTCTATTTTTTGGTAGAGACGGGGTCTCGCTCTTGCTCAGGCTGGTCTCGAACTCGTGAGCTCAAGCAATCCGCCCGCCTCGGCCTCCCAGAGTGCTAGGATTACAGGCGTGAGCCACCGCGCCCGGCCATGAGTATCATTTTTTGATTTAAAAAAATATGCAGTTCATTTTTTATCTAATTTCTTAGCTACGTGGCTCTCACCAATCAAAGTTTAAAATTGGCCAGGTGCAGTGGCTCATGCTTGTAATCGTAGCCCTTTGGGAGGCCAAGGTGAGAGGCTCACTTGAAGCTAGGAGTTCTAAACCAGCCTGGGCAACATAGTGAGACCCTGTCTTTACAAAAAAATTAACAGTTAGCTGGGTGTGGTGGTGTATGCCTGTAGTTCTAGCTACTCAGGAGGCTGAGGTAGGAGTATTTCTTTTTTTTTTTTTTTTTTTTTGGGACAGAATCTCACTCTGTTGCCCAGGCTAGAGTGCCGTGGTATCAGCCTAGCTCACAACAACCTCAAACTCCTGGGCTCAAGCAATCCTTCTGCCTCAGCCTCTCGAGTAGCTGGGACTACAGGCATGTGCCACCATGCCCAGCTAATTTTTTCTATATATTTTTAGTTGTCCAACAAGTTTCTTTCTTTTTTTTAGTAGAGACGGGGTCTCGCTCTTGCTCAGGCTGGTCTCGAACTCCTGAGCTCAAACGATCTGCCCGCCTCGGCCTCCCAAAGTGCTAGGATTATGGGCATGAGCCACTGTGCCTGGCCTGGAGTATTTCTTGACCCCAAAGTTTGAGGTTGCAGTGAGCTATGATTGGGCCACTCCACTCCAGCCTGGGCAATAGAATGAGACCTTGTCTCTAAAACTAAAAAAACAAAAAATAAAGAGAATGGTGGTCACCTCACACCCATCAGGATGGTTAACCAAGAAAAAAAATCAGAAAATAACAAAGGTTGGCGAGGATGTGGAGAAATTGGAACCCTTGTGCACAGTGGTGAGGCTATAAAATGGTGCAGCTGGTTGGAAAACAGTATGGTGGTTCCTCAAAAAATTTAAAATAGAATTACCGTACGATTCAGCAATTCTACTTCTGGGTGTATACCCCAAAAAATTGAAAGCAGAGTCTGGAAGAGATATTTGTACACCCATGTTCATAGCAGTGTTGTTCACAGTAGCTAAAACATGGAAGCAGCCAAGTGTCCATTGACAAAAGAATGGATAAGCAAAATATTCGGTATACATACAGTAGAATATTATTTGGTCTTACAAAGGAAGGAAATTCTGACATGGTGCAAGGTTTATAAGGGTGAACATGAGGACATTATAGTAACTGAAATAAGCCAGTCACAAAACCACAAGTACTATATGATTCCACTTATGTAAGTTATCTAAAGTAGTCAAGTTCATAGAGACAAAGTAGAATGGTGGTTGCCAGGGGTTGGGGGCAGGTAGAAGGAATGGGGATTTATTACTTAATGGGTATAAAGTTTTGGTTTTGCAGGATGAAAAGAGTTCTGGAGATTGGTGGTGGTAATAGTTGCACAACAGTGTTAATGTACTTAATGCTGCTGAGGTGTGTGCTTAAAAATGGTTAAGATGATAAATTTTATGTGTATTGTACCACAATTTTATAAGTTAGATTTAATTTTAAAAAAAGAAAATGATGGTGACACAGCCTCATTCCCCCAGTCCAATTCAGTGGGTCCAGGTTCATCAGTGACCTAATACAGCCAGAGTGGGCGGAGATCACTAGTTTAGCTGAAGAGAGTGCTATATAGGGAACCCTTATATTCTGGACACACCTAAATCTCATCTTGGTTTTCCCACATGACCCTGATCCCAAGCGAAGGACTTTTGTTTGTTTTTGTTTTTGAGACAGAGTCTCACTCTGTTGCCCGACATAGAGTGCCGTGGGGCCAGCCTAGCTCACAGCAACCTCACTGGGCTCAAGCGATCCTCCTGCCTCAGCCTCCTGAGTGGCTGGGACTACAGGCAAACACTACCACGCCCAGCTAATTTTTCCCATTTTTAGTTGCCCAGCTAGTTTTTTCTATCTTTTGTAGAGATGGGATTTCACTCTTCCTCAGCCTGTTCTCAAACTCCTGACCTCAAGCGATCCTTCCCCCTCAGCCTCCCAGAGTGCTAGGACTGCAGGCATGAGCCACCGCGCCTGGCATAGTTTTGTTCTTTATTTCATTTTATAACTCTTGTGATCAGAAGAAAAGCTCCACAGTAAGTGAGACATATGTATTGTAGAAAACTTGGCAAAGTTCAAAAAATATATATAAAGATGATAATAAAAATCATCCATAATCCCATCAACCTGAGTAATCATCATTAAATTCAGGTATATTCTGGTCCCTTTACTGTTATGTAGAGCTATGTTTACAGATACATTGTAAATATAGATGTCCCTGTATATTCTCATGTCTATATACTTCTTTTACATGCTTTTTTAAAAGAACCTACTTGAGATATTGTTTCTTTTTCCCTTTTTAATTAATATATGGTGAATGTCTTTCAGGTCATTGAGGGTTTTCAGTGGCTCCATAGCATTATTTATCTAACCCATTACTTTTATTGGACATCTAGATTGTCTCCCAGGTTTTCACTATGATAGTCAATGCTATAGTGAAATATCTTTATACAGAAAAAAATCTTTTTGAGTATGCTTTTTCTTCTGGCCAGTTTAGTAGTTGAAAAAAATTTTTTTGTATTTTCTTTCTAGTGAACATTTTCCTATGCTTGCTACCATAAAACTTTTAATTAGATAGTTCTTTCTCTTTCCTCTTACACTGGTTTTTGTTCTCCACTCTTCTTGTCATATCATGAAATCATGAACTTTTATAGCAAGAAGGAACTTTAAAGATTAATCACTCCCCTTATTTTACATTTAAGACCCTAAAGGTTAAATGGTTTGACCAGAGTTACATAGAAAATTAAGTAGCAGAATAGGGATTTGAACCCAGCATTACCCATTTTTCATTTTTTCCTCCTTCTCTGAGTTCCCGTAGATGATATTGCTGGTATCCTTAAGTCTCCATGGAGAAAGATTCTGCAGCTTTTCATTTTTGAGCAGTATTTCATTTGTATTTTTCTGGCAGAGAACTTCTTGCTTCTAAATAAGCCAAGAAAGTAGCCTCAGCTGAGTGTGCCCTCTACTAATAACCAGTGTAATGCTTGCTGTTCCAGGAGTCATGTCTGACCAGGACTGTGGGAAGGTCGTATCCATGCTGGAGGCTCTTGTGAGGAGATGAGTTGGTGAAGAGAGAGGCCGGGATGAAGATGCTGCCAGGAGTGGGCGTGTTCGGGACTGGCAGCTCCGCCCGGGTTCTGGTCCCACTGCTGAGGGCAGAAGGGTTCACCGTTGAGGCCCTGTGGGGGAAGACTGAGGAGGAGGCAAAGCAGCTTGCTGAGGAGATGAACATCACCTTCTACACCAGCCGAACTGATGACGTCTTGCTGCATCAAGACGTGGATCTGGTGTGCATCAACATCCCCCCTCCACTCACCCGGCAGATATCTGTGAAAGCTCTAGGTATGACTGGCAGGCTGTGGCAGGGGCAGATTGTGTCCCTCCTGGCAGTCCTCTGAGGGTCGTTGCTCTCTGGTGGGCCTGGGTGTCCCTTCTTGGGCTCGCATCTGCAAGTAGTAGTACCCTGGGATGTCACTCACCTGTGGAGCAACGCTGGGGAAAGGCATGCTGCGGGAGCGGGTGGTCTTACAGCTGTGCAAGGAAAATGACTCAGCCTTCCCCCACCACCTATTAGTAAATTCCTGAGCAGAAATTAAGGAAACACTCTAAGAGATGTCGCTTCAAGGGCCTGGAGATGGTTACATTTCAGCAATGTAAAATTTGCCTCTGTGAAGTCAGATTGGAGACCTAGACACTGGGAAATGGGTTGTGATTGACATGTTTGTTCTTCCACTGCCGTGGCACACAGCACCACAGGAAGGAGAGGCTGTGTAGCAAGGCCACCACTTCCCATGTTTTGTCAGCCCTTTACTGTAGTGAGCACACACCCTTCCTGCCCAACTGCAATCTTGTATTGCCAGAGGGCAGGAAGGCTCTGACAGCGCCGGGCTTCCCTGACAGGATCCATGGACAGCTTGCTCACATTACATCTCCACTCCCTTGGGAAGCTTGGGCTTAGCGACCTCCTGCCCCTGGCTGGGCATGGCTTGCTGAGCTGTTCTCCTGCAGTTCCTGTTGGGCTTCTCTTTCCTGTCAACTGTAAACAAATTCATCTTATATAAATCATAACTTAATTTTGTAGGTAAACAAACCAGTAAACATTCAGCCAGCAATTTTTTTTTCTTTGAAGATAGGGTCTCACTCTGTCACCCAGGCTAGAGTGCAGTGGCATCATGATAGCTCACTACAACCTCAAACTCCTGGGCTCAAGCGATCCTCTTGTCTCAGCCTCCTAAGTAGCTGGGACTACAGGCGTACGCCACTGCACCTGGCTAATTTTTCTGTTTTTTTGTAGAAATGGGGTCACGCTCTTGTTCACACTGGTCTTGAACTCCTGTCCTCAAGCGATACTCCCACCTCAGCCTCCTAAAGTACTAGGATTAGAGGTGTGAGCCATCACACCCAGCCATGTTTTTTTTTAATGCCTCCTGTATGCCAGTCACTGTCCTGATGTCATTCTGGACATTCAAACCTGTGTTAAATCCCTGCCTTCAGATTTCACAGTCCAATTGAGGAGACTGGAAATAACATGACAGAAGACTTAAGTAACAGCTCAAGTAGCATATAATTAATTGATAGAGTAATTATTTTGTGTAAGGTAATAGGAGCCATGTGTCTATATGATGTAGTCAGAGATCCCTGGGTTAAGGAACTGGTACCATGAGGCTGACCACCATCCTTCCTGGCCACTACCGTGATGGAGGACCCAAGGCTCTGCTACTTATCTCTCCCTTGTTCTGAGGACTACCAGGAGAGGTTATCTTTCATCTCTGGCCCAGTGGGTTGGAAAGGATAAATGTTCATTGAAGTAATCAAGAACTTGAATCTGTCTGGTTGTCAATTTGGAGGATGTAAATTTTGGCCAAAAAATTATAGATAGCTTATCTTTTGATATGTGACATTGAAGCTATTCATTGGTCACCAGATTCTTGGGAGGGCAAATGGTGGCTCCAGGTTAAATTTAGAAGTAGACCTAAGTCAACACGTCAGCAGAGGGTTGGTTCAAGGAGAATCAAGCCACTGTGGTCACTTGACTTCTTGCCATCACTCGTGGCATGAATGCAGGCTGGAGAGGTGAGGTGTGTCCAGAGAGCTCCAGAGGCTCTCAGTCTTCTTCCTGAGTTTTAGGGTCCACAGAGATACCCTTTCCAATTGGTGCACGAAGAAAGAGGGTTCTTTGGCAACAAGCTTGCTGTTTTCTAGTTATTGGTATGGGAAAATGGTGGACTTTGGGTCACATAAACAGAAAGGAGCAGGATGACCAGGGACTTCTGGAATCTTGTGTCCTAGCCCTTGACAAGGCAGGGCTATCAGTCTTCTCTCTATATCTCTGCTGTAAGTAGAAGGAGGGTATGAATGTGAGGGTCTTTGGTCTGTTCTTGCAGGTATGTAATCTCAGGGCCATGTTGGCAGGACTGAGAAAGCCTGTGTCAGCGGGACTTGCCCTGGCACTGCCCATATTGTGACCATAAAGTTCACTCCCTGTATGCTATCACTTTTTTTAGTGAAAATTCTGACTAGACTTCAATACTTGTAGAAAAGGCCGGGAGAACTCCAGTCTTCCCAGGGCCTGCGGGTATGAATGTGTTAACTGCTATAATCAGAGCACCAGAATGACCTTGACATCAGGCCCCACTACAGTCCTATTTCTGTCCCTCTCAGCATCAGTGGGCCCCTGTGAAATGGAGGTATCAATTCCTGCCCCACTCAGCGCTTCCAGGATGGTATATAACTATCCTCTATGTGCAGACCAAGAAAGTCACTGGGGTCGCATTACAAGAAAAGATCTGGCTTTCCTGTTGTCCCAAGCAGAAGAACAGATTTGCCAAAATTCATTTTTTAAAATAGTAGGATTCTCAGGCTGGCTGCAGTGGCTCATACCTGTAATCCCAGCACTTTGGGAGGCCAGTGTGGAAGGATCACTTGAGCCGAGGAGTTCAAGACCAGCCTGAGCAACATAGTGAGACCCTGTCTCTATAATAAGTAGAAAAAACTATCCAGGTGCAGTGGCACACACCTGTAGTCCCAGCTACTTAAGAGGCTGAGGCAGGAGGATCACTTGAGCACAGGAATTCAAGGCTGCAGTGAACTATGATTGCACCACTGCACTCTAGCCTGGGGAACAAAGTGAGACCCTGTCTCAAATAAATAAAATAAAAATTAAAAATAGGCCAGGCGCGGTGGCTCATGCCTGTAATCCTAGCTCTCTGGGAGGCCGAGGCGGGCGGATTGTTTGAGCTCAGGAGTTCGAAACCAGCCTGAGCAAGAGCGAGACCCCGTCTCTACTAAAAATAGAAAGAAATTAATTGGACAACTAAAAATATATAGAAAAAACTAGCCGGGCACGGTGGCGCATGCCTGTAGTCCCAGCTACTCGGGAGGCTGAGGCAGGAGGATCGCTTGAGCCCAGGACTTTGAGGTTGCTGTGAGCTAGGCTGATGCTACGGCACTCTATCTGGGCTACAGAGTGAGATACTGTCTCAAAAAAAAAAAAAAAAAAAAGCTCTGGAAATGTCTGGTTCTTTTATAACTGTTCAGATGGAGAACAGGACGGGCAACAGTATTGATAGTTTTAAAAATACAATGTATTTAAAAGTCCTCAGAGTCAATATCCCAAAAGACTCTCAATGCCACTCCACCCAACTTTGTGTTACCATGCACGAATCTCTTTATATATATGTGTGAGAGTACAGGCAGTCCCTGGGTTACAGACCACCCGACTTAATGGTGTTCTGTAATTAGCAATGGGCTCCCAAGGCTCCCCATAAGGATAATTTATAATTATATGATTGAATTAAGAATTCAGGAACTAGTTTATTTCCTTGCATATAAACAAACCCACATGGCATAAGCAGTTTGTTGGCACAGCATCTTTACGCTAGCGGCTAGTCTTGCTGTTTATATGGTTGCTTACACACAGATGAAAACAGCGTGTTTTCATCTTAACTTTTTTATTCGATTTTGTGAGTCTGTGTTTACCCTTATGACCAAGCCTCCGAAAGGAAAGTCCACTGCAAGTCCTGGTGAGCCTGTACTAAGAGAAAGGTGATTACAATGGAAATGAAAGAAAGAATTAAGCATTCAGAGAAAGGCCAGACACCACCATTCATTGGGAGAGCATTAGGCTTCAGTTGCTCAACTATCGGAACAATTATAAAGGATAAAGTGAGAATAATAGAACGTGTGAAAGGCAGTGCTCCAATGAAAGCATTAAATATTACTAAACATAGTAGATTAATTATTGAAGTAGAAAGGTTATTAATTTAGTTAGAAAAATAAGTAACATTCCTATTAGCCTAGCGTTGATGCAACATTAGGTGAGTATTAACCTTTAATATTCTTTTTTGAAATTTCTCTTATCTCCTATATACTTTTTGTATGAGTTTGTTTTTATGTTCTGTTTGTTTGAATTAAAAGAGCGAGCACAATAGTTTCTGTAACTTAGTACAGGGGCATTATTTTTACAGTATTATACTGTATTATTATCAGATATGAGCTATTATAGTGTTGTTATTATTATTACCATATATGCACTGTTCATCAGGGATCTGAGTTACATACAAATCTGACCTAAAGATGTTCTCTCATCTGTAACTGAGGGACCACCTCTATATCTTCTTTCTCCCATACAGATTTTTATTTCCCTCCCTGCCCCCTCCCATATAGGTCTTTTTCCTGTTACTGGGGCTGTGTCTCTTACTATCTTCCTCTTTCCTTGTGTTATTTTTGTTTTTACTTAAGGATATAAGCTTTAGATCTGCAGTCTTTTTAGAGCTGGAAAAAAAAGTATAATCACTTAGCTCTCTGGTTGTGGAGGTATTGTAATTTTAGGTCAGCTCTTTCAAGACCTCGAGCCTGTGAGAAGTTTATCACAATTACCTGAAGTCTCTCTTCAATGTCCTTCTTAGCTGGGCGTGGTGGTACACACCTGTAGTCCCAGCTGCTTGGGAGGCTCAGGGGGGAGGATGGCTTGAACCCAGGTATTGGAGTCCAGCCTGTGCAACATAGCAAGACTCCGTCCCTAAATATATGTGTCCTTCTTGCATTGTGCTATGCTAAACATTATGAAAGGTGAGTCATAAAGACTGGAAAGCAGAACCGAGGTATGCAACACTGACATGGATTTGCAAGCAGAAGGATATATATGGCATATTCTCAAACTTTTCAGACCAGTCAGTGGTACTGTATTTTCTTCTGGCTTTCACAGGCATAAAATCATTGAAATGTCAGGCCTGCAAAGGCCATGGAGAGAGCGTCTATCCAGCAGTTCTCAAGAGTGCTGTCCCTGCACTAGCAGTATCAGCATCACTTGGGAACTTGTTAGAAATCTAAATTCTCAGGTC